GAGTTGCCCATACTTCATATTTGAAGTTGCTTCTAAGATAACATAATGGCCCTTGTGAAACATATATTCATTGCCCCAAGAAAACATTAGACATTTATCCAGATGGCAAGGTAACTCTGTATTTGCTCTAAATTAATTAATGGCTAGTTTCCATAGTGTGGGACCGAGTGCAGTACCACACTGTGCCTCTGGTTAGGGCCATGGGGCCAGATCAAGCCAGCAGGTGTGTCATTACCTCTCGACAATAAAACATCTTAATACGTAATTTAACACAAGTAACTGGGAATTTTTTCATCACAACAAAAACTACTGATTTCACCACTCTCAATCCCTTTATGGATATAATGCGCCCCTGTCCCCAGATGCTTATGACAATGTTAGGTCTCTGGGAATTTTTAATACCTCACAGTTTATTGTTTTTTAAATATCATATTGTTTTCTGAAAATAGAAATAAGTGCTACTTTTTCCTGAAAATATTGCCTTTTTATATTAATAGTTATTAATATATTTGAGTCTTTCAGATCTGCACAACTAAACAGGAGTTGAGGGCTCAGGCAGGCAGCAAGTCCTCCACCTGGCGGGGCCAGTTCTTCCCCTGGAGCGCTGGGATTGGGGAGGGGCCCCAAGCAAATGAGCCACAGTGGGACAAAGGGGCTGTTCTAGAACTCAAGGGTTGCTGAGGGGGTTTTGTTTCTGGGATGCCCTCTTGCAGGGTGGCATTAAATTATCCCTCAGACCAGCATTACGCCTGCCTTTCTAATTGCTTTTCTCCTCCTGCCCTGGGGACAATAGTATGTTAGGTGCTTGCAGGGAGTCTTGCCTTGCTGTGACATGAGGACCTAGAAGGAAGTGATGTAGTGCTTTAGGGCATGTCATTGTCCATGTCTGGAGTACCTTGGCATAGCTGTGTGCTCAAGTAACCTGAGCCTGTCACATACCCCTCGGAGGAGTGTCTTGCAATAATGGGGCTGCACATTATGAGGCAGGGCAGTGCCATGAGGAAAGAATACACTAAGTGCTCAATAACTGTTTCTTTGTAATAAGGGAAGATAGAAACAAGAAAGGATAGGAATTCTCCCGAAAAACACCAGATCCTGAGCTGAATGCTGTGGAGGATACAAAGAGAGAAAAGATGTTGTTCCTATACCCAAGACATTTATCATCCTGTGGGGTCAAAGTCTGCCTGTGCAAACATAAACAGCAACCCCAGGCTGCATGTTCAGTGCCAGAGGAGAGCAGGTGGCCCATGCACACATTGCTGAGTGCTGAGCTCTGTGTTGTAGGCAGCTGCCCTACTAAAAATAAGCATCATGTTTGTGAAGGGCTGGATTCAAGGTCATGCATAGAATGATGTCACCATCACTGGCTCATGCTTCTCTGTGTTCTTTTGACTGAGAGGCTGGAGTGACAGGCAGCCAGGAACTGCGGATACAGACAGCCTCACTGACTACATGGCCTGGGGGTGTCCTGGCTGCAAGAGGATGGAGACCAGTGGTGCGCTGGATCATTCCTCTGGAGTGGAGAGTGGGGAGCAGGAGGCAGTTCTCCATTTCCTGGGTTGGCTGGGCAAAGTTTGATGGTGGAGTTAGGATCATGACTTGAGTGAAGGGTGGGATGAGTTGAGTGCTGTGGAGGGCTCAGTCCCCTAATAGGGGACTGGGAGGACAGAGCTCTGTGTTCATGGGGGCAGACTGTTAGAGAAGTGTCATGAGGCCTTGAGCTCTAGACTCAATGCCACCTCAGAGAGTAGGGTCCTGGTCCCCACTGTAGTCCCAGCACTACTGCACCCACCCACTGCATAGTAGGTGCTCAACGCATATTTGCCAAATGAATATATTAATGAACTGGACGGTGACACCTGGACTTTAGCCTGCAGGTGAGAGGCAGAAGATGTGACAGGGAGGTGGTGTTTGGCAGCAGGTACTCAGTGGACTCTTCCCCTACCACATTGAAACTTACTTGTCCTGGATCTCATTCCTTTTCTCAAACCAGCCAGTCTGAGTGAGCCATCAATACCAGGTGCTAATGAAAAACCATAGCTTACTGTAGCATCTCTCCCAGGTGTTAGCATTTTTAACATGAACCTTCAAGTTGTTGCCCCAGGGCATAGGGGAGGGCAGCGGTCTGTTGGGGGCATTTTGGTTGGAGAATCCTTAGGTCTCCAGGATGTCTGTGTGAGAAGCCACATGCAACTTCTGTGTAAGGCAGACCTTTGCTGGCTTATACCTCGATGGTCAAGATACACAAGGCTCCATGTTTCCTCTCCTCTCTGGTTTAGCCTGGAGAATTTCAAATTCACCAAGCCCTCTGAACACTGCGGTTTCCAGGGTTTCATCTTCTATCCTCTTCCATCTCCCTGGGGCTCCCTCCCTTGGCCACGCTCTGATACCCCAGCAAAGTCCCTTGGAAGTGACTCTGATGAAACTGGCAGCCCTCCTCCCTGCCTGCGGAGTGACTTGAAACAGAACCTGTGTGTTCTAACTGATGCTTTTACTGCCCTGTGTTTTTGCTTTTTCATTGTTTTTTTTTTTAAGCAAAGCTAATCAAACAGATAGTTTTGAGTTATTTTGCTTTCTGATCACCAGTGTAGCAATCTGTAGCTGCCTCCTTACAATTACTAAAGCAGCGTGGTGATAATCCTAGTTATTGCCTGCCCAGGGAGCATATCCCGGTCACTGCCATCCCTGAGATATTTCCCTGGCCAGATCAAGAGACAGCTGGGCTTCACTGGAACTTTCTCCTTTGCTGCTGACTGGTGGGATACTCCCTCTTAAGATATTATTGACAAGTCTAAAGGAAAGCCTTGATTCATTTGAAACTTTTTAAGAGAAAATCCTGCTACTTAACACCTCCATGCTGAAGCAAGCAGCTGGAAGTCAGTCTTGGTTTTATAGCAGTCAGGAGGCCTGTGGACTTAAGGTTCACATTTCGCAGCGACATGTGATATTTTTGAAGTTCTAGCATGGAGCTCAGTACACATCATATTTCACTCCTTGGGCTATTGATGGCTGCAAAGCCGAGGTGGCCATTCATCTCTGTCAGGGCTTGTCACTTGCATCTTTTCGAGCACAGCTATTAATACTCTCTCACTTGATTACTTGATCTGTCCAACTTGGGGAGGCCAGAGCTCCGATGTCCCCTTTCTTCTGCCTCCCCCCTTTTTTTTTCTGAGACAGAATCTTATTCCATTGTCCCGGGTAGAGTGCAGTGGTGTTATCACAGCTTATTACAACCTCAAACTTCTGGGCTCAAGCGATCTTCCTGCCTCCGCCTCTAGCTGGGACTACCGGCTGGGGCCACCAGGCCTGGCTAATTTTTTCTATTTTTGGTAGAGACGGGGTCTCACTCTTGCTCAGGCTGGTCTAAAACTCCTGACCTCAACTGATCCTCACGCCTTGGCCTCCCAGAGTGCTAGGATTACAGGCTTGAGCTGCCATTCCTCGCCTGCTCTGCCCTTCTTGACTACATTTTAAAATTGAGAAACATTGACTCTGGTCTGCCCTAGTCTGTCTTGGTGATGGCTTATGGTCAGTCCTTTGGCCCTGGGTGCATGAATCTCCTTGGGTGGCCCCTGAAGCAGATGGTGGTCTCTCACACACTATGCTTGTGGGATCTCAGGCAGCTGTGAACTATCATGCAGACTTGGTAAGGGCGGGGAGGGGATGCTGGGTGCATCTGGCAGGAGAACAGGTCTCTGTGATGAGGGAGGAACTGCCAGTTGCCACTGAGATCCACTCCCTCCCTAGGATGTAGCCCTAATTTTACTGCTCAGTGCACCCTGCTGAAAAGCTACACTTCCCAGTTTCCCTTGCAGCCACGTGGGGCCTGTGAGGAAGTTCTGGTTGTGGTTAAGTAAGGAAGCTGTTGTGTGGGGCTTCTGGGAAGGGTGCTTAAAAGGGACTGACCCTACTAGGGGCTGTGCTTATTTGCCCTGCCAGCATCCTGCCTCTGCACCACAGCCTGGACGTGCTGCTTGGCACTGCAGAAGCCGTCTTGAATCGTAAGGTGACTCTGAGGACAGAAGGATGTGCTGGGATGATGGAGCAGAGAGATAGAAAGAGCCTGGATATTTTTTTAAGTTTTTTTTGTATTTTTTAAAATTAAACTTTTTATTTTGAGATAATTGTAGATTCACATACAGTTGTAAGAAATGATACAGAGAGATCCGTATACCCTCCACCCCGTTTCCCTGTGGTAACATAGTACCACAGCACAGCCAGGAACTCCACTTCCATATAGTTAAGATATCACCACAGGAGCCTTTGCATTGTACTTTTATCATCATACCTGTTTCCCTGCTGCCCCTACGTCCTCCTTAGCTGCTGGAAACAGCTATCTGTTAGAGCCTGGATCTCGATGAAGGCAGAGCCTCTGTCCCAGCCCTGGAGCACTTACCTGTGGAATGAAATTTGACTGATTGAGAGATGTAAATATCTAAATCAGCGAAGCCAAATATTACTGTTTAAAAATGTCATACAGCCAAACTTAACCCTTAACCGAGATAGATGGGATCCAGAAAAGGAGGCCAGAATACCATTATTACATTAGGGGAAAGTACAGACTTGTGAAGGTGGTTTCAAAGAAGCAGGAAATTGTAGCTAAGTCAAGAAAGAACTAGGGGCTGTTGCTTTCATGTACCAATGAATTTCCCTTCCTCACAGCGCTGACCCTGGCTTCTATAAAGTGCTTTTGAATGTTTTTAGTCCTATCTTATTTGAGTATTATAAATAATTGATCTTAAAATATCCTGGTTGCTACAAATATTTAGTTTACAAGGATTTATTGCATCCTAACGTTTGCAGTTACGATTTCTTGAGGTGATAACACTTCCTTGGAGATTTCAGTTCTGATTCTCAGAAAGAGATTAGTGGGGAAAGTGGAATTTGATGTTAAGAAATGTTCTAGAAACTTGGCTGCAATGTGCCAGACCTTGCTAGGACTGCCAGAGAGTTCTGGGGCCTGTCTCAGCTGGCCACTCACGGTGTGTCTCCCTTTCCAGGAGCCGGCGTCAGAGAGGACGTGTTTCTCATCTGGAGGGAGCTGAAGGAAGCCTGCAGCACCCTGGCCCAGATCCAGAGGCTGGTGGCCGAGACACCCGAATCCAACATGGCCACAGTAGACTGCGGTTGGTGCTATTTATAGTCACTAGTGTAAAAGGGTCATAAATGTGACTAGTAGGGGACCAGGGGCTGTTGCCATGTTCCTAATCAGGAGAGCTCCATAGCCCGAATGTGAGGGGGTGCTGAGGAAAACTTCCAGAACTGCGCTGTGGCGTGTGTGTGTGTAGATTGTTAAAGAAGAACCAGAGCTAGATAGTAGTTGAAGCAGTAGAAAAAGATTCTTCACAAACTGTTGCAATAGAGGAAAGCAGACCTCAGTATAGAACTGGGCTCAAATCTGAGTACAACATGAACAAGTGGGGATTTACAGCCAAGGAGCAGAGTGGGGTCAGTGGATGGAAAATTACTAAGAAGAGACAGCAGGGGTAAAGGGGGTTCTGGTTAAACCAACTTGACAGGATTCTGGCTGAAGACAGGCCAGGATGATCAGACATCACCTGGGGGATGGTGGAGGATGAGGAACCTGATCAGATATCAAGGTGATCAGATACTGAGGGTGGGGGATTCTGGCAAAACTGACTTAGCAGAATTTTTGCTAAAATCAGGTGATACAAAGATGAGCATAAAAGTCCAAAGGTTGAGGCCTACTTGAGGATTCAGAGGAGCCTGACAAAAGTTTGGTCAAGGGGAGACTTTGTCAGGATGCATGTGCTCTTGTAAGGAGAAAGAGCAGGAGACCTCAGTGATGGGGTCAGCTGACCTTGGCCCTTTTCTGCAGACTAAATTACATACAGACTATCTGTGGTGGGCAACCATCCTACTCACTCTTGGACACCTACAGAAAAGGCTTAATCACTTTCTTCTGAGCAGGGTCTGGGACCTTGCTGCAGAAAAGTGGCACAGGAGTATGGAATGTTTATCTAGAAGGGACAGGGTGAATGTGGGTTTGAATTATTTATATTAAAAAGAAATCATTAAAATCCAGTTGCATTTCTGGCCTTTAGCTTAGAGCTGCTTCTTCTAAATTGAAATCTTAGAGTTCGGAAGACTAATTTGCTCTCTCTCAATGTAATGACAAGAATGATGGCAACCATTTGGTGGGCACTTACTATGTGTCAGGTGCTACTGTAAGGACTGGGCTTATATTTAGCTCATTTAATCCTCCTAACTCTATGAGGGAGTAGGTATTATCCCCATTTGACAGGTGAGAAAACTGAGGCACAGAGGGATTAAGTAATTGGTCATGGTCACATGGCTAGCAAATGTAGAGTCTAGTTTTGAACCCCAAATGCAGAGTGGAGGCTTTCTTGCCTAGTTAAACTTTTAAAAAAGTTAGCAGTAATGCTGTATTCATCTTAGCATTACTTCCCATTATTTAAATAGCACCTTTCCTATCCTGAAAAATGAAAGCACTTCCCTGATGTTTGATGGGCTCCAGCCCTCCCCTCCACTGCACCATAGAAACAAAATAATTACATTTTATTAGTGAAAGACACTGAGACTACAGAAGTATTTTTCCCCTTTTTTCTTTTCAGCCAAAACATTTTTCACAACAAAGAGCATGAGTTTTGAAGTGAAAAAGACCTGGTTATAGATACCAACTCCATCACTAGATTAACCTGAGTTAATCTCTTTCAGCCTTAGTTTATTCTTTTGTAAAACGATTATAATAACATCAATGTTGAGGAACCTATCGTAAAGATTAAATAAAATAATGCATGCTTTGCACCAAGCGGGAACTTGACAAATGTCAGCTCACTCTTTTTCCTTTCACATTTAGGGGAGTTGGTATACTGATTCTCCTGCATAAATTCTTGAGCTAGTAGAGGATTTTCTTCTGTGAGGCACTGGTTTCCTTTGGGGCACACCTGGTAATAATAACAGTTACCACTGAAAGCACATACCTTACATGTCAAGCACTGTTCTAAGCTTTATCACCAGTAAGTGATTCAAAAACTAGTCCTTCCGTAAAAATACTGATGTCTACCTCCCACCCCTAGACATTGCGATTTAACCCCTATGGGATGACATTGGGGTTTTTGAAAGCTCCCCAGCTGGTTCTAATGTGCAGCCAAGTTTGGACCCACTGCCAGGCTGTGGTACCTCCTGGTACTGCCTGTATTACAGAGGTGCAGTGGGGCAGAGAGTAAGGAGGCCAGGCTGGCTGGAAACAGGGATACACTTGGACAGAAATGGGACCTGTGTGAAGAAGGGAAGAGGTTTAGGCATGGGCAAGCCTGCTCTGTGTGACTTGATAAATTTCTGGTGACAGTGGCCTTTTCCTGTGACTGGGTGTCCTGACTTGGGCCTGGGGAACCAGCATCTGTGGTTGGGTTGCCAGGACCAGCTCCCTGGGGATTCCTAAGGAAAAGTCCAATCAGGCTGTCTGGAGGAGCTGTCACTTATAGTGACACCCTGTTTGAGAACCCAGACAGTCCCATCGTCCCACAAGAATGAACATGAAGTGGAGGACGCAGGCTAAAGCCAACATCTATGCCAGGCAAAGAGAATGGGGATCTTGCCACTAAGTTATTTCTTTTGGGGAATGTATGGACTCAATTATGTCCCCCAAAATTCAAACGATGAAGCCCTAACCCCCCATGTGACTGTCTTTGGAGTAAGACCTTAAGGAGGTAATTAAGGTTAAATGAGGTCATAAGGTAGGGCCCTAATCTGATAGGGTTGGTGTCTTTTTAAGAAGAGGGAGAGACACCAGAGAGCTCTCTCTCTCTCCACAAACACACAGAGGAAAGGCCACGTGAGGACAATCAGAGAAGGCGGCCATCTGCAAGCCAGGAAGAATGGCCTGGACAGAAACCAATGCTGCTGGCACTCTCATCTTGGACTTCCACCCTCCAAAGCTGTGAGAAAATACATTTCTGTTGTTTAAGCTGCCCAGTCTGTGGTATTTTGTTATGGCAGCCCAAGCAGACTAATACAGGGAGTATTTAAGTTTGCTGTAGTTACTCTTAAGGGTTAACAGAAGATTTTCGATGTATTCCTAATAGAAACAGAAGAGCTACAGGCCTCAGATACTGGACAATGATCTGTTGTCATCCCTTTATTTCAATCTAATACGCACACAGAGAGACACCCCAAAAACTAAAAACCAAAATAACTCCAAGCTTAAGTTTTCAAAAAATTCTTCAAAAATATCATTTTTATTTAAAAAGGAAAATTTAGTCAGGACCTTTCCTCTGTTGAATAGCTATCTAAACTTTTAGAAACTTTATTGGCCCAAGAGGCCACATGTAGAGTATCTGACCTGCTCCTGTTCCCATCCACTGCCCAGTGATACTGAAGCAAAGCCTGTATCAGTCCAAGATGCTGCCTGGACTACTTGGGGCAGAAGCAGTGGCCATTCCCCCCAGCTGCCTACTTAAAGACTACAGGCCAGAGGAAAGAGGGTAGCTGGCTGGAGAGAGGAAGGGGCAGATTGGAGGAAATCAGGTGGGCTACCATTCCATCTGGAACCTTCCAGTAAATTAGACAAAGGCTGCCCTCCTTGGGGATAGCAGCTCTCACGTGCCCCCTGGGCTGGGTGCACTGGTCAGTGGCCAGCCAGCACACACAACCATAGGTCCAGGAGGGAAGTTTCTGGCAGGGATGATTCATCAGCCTAATGCCTGGATGAGAAGATGGTGAGGCCAGACATTCTTGCCAGTGGTAATTTTGACCTATTTTAATTACCAACAGCAGGATATCAGAATTCCCTGGAATGAAACACTGACAAAAATATATGAATCAATAGTTTTTAAGACGCTAAATACTAAGCAATGAAGGCCAGTGATCCCTGACATAGGGCAACTAAAAAAAGATTAAAAAGTGAGCTCTAGATTTTCCCGGCTTACTGCCTTGAGAGAGTTTCCAGCCAACAGTACGTGGAGGAGGAACCCAGGTGGAGCCCGGCAAACTTCCTGAGTTTGGGAAACAGAACTGAGAGTCTGGAGAGACCAAGGCAGCTAGAATTCACAGGACAAAGTGCCAGAGAGGAGAAAGGTACACAGAAGAAGTCCAGAAATCTGCAGAGGGTCCCTCTCAGGAATTCATTTGAATACGGATCAGCTCATTCACATGAGAAAATTACCTGAGTCTGGGGATAGAGCCATTGGAAAGAATTGGAAGAAAAGAGCTTGGATTTCACACACGGCCAGGTACAGTGCCTGTTTTCACCAGCACGAACACTTTACAATTCATGGGGCCCCAGGCAGACTACTTGGGAAGGTCCTGCCTCAGTGATGGGAATGGTTGGCCTTAAACTGAGCACTGCACTGGGGCCTCCTAAGAAATCATTAAAGCAAGACATGAAAAGAGCAAACTATTGCTAGGTAACATAAATGCATCTCAGAACAAAGTTCAAGAATATTTAAAAGAATACAAAAACACTCAATACCCAACAGGGTAAAATTCACAATGATTGACATCCCATAAAGATTACTTAGGCATGAAAATTAGCAGGAAAATGTTACCCTTAATAAAAGAAAAATCAATCAAAACTGAGAACTAACACAGACATTAGAGTTGTCAGAAAAGGCACTCAAAGTTATAACTGTATTTCATATGTTCAAAAAGTTAAGTAGAGATAGAGAAGGTATAAAAAAAAGATGCATATTGAGCTTTTAGAGATGAAACTTTTAGAGAAAAAAATATTTTAGATGAAAAACATACTGAATGGGATCAATGGCAGATTAGACATTGCAGGAAAAAAGATTAGTGACCTTGAAGACAGCAATGGAAACTATCCAAAATGAGATACACATAGAAAAAAAAGAATAAAAAAATTAAAAAACATAAAAGAGCATATGTGAGTTGTGGGGTAACTTCAAGTGGCCAAATATACGTGTGGATGGAATTCCTAAGGCAAGGAAATAGAAAAAGGTGGTGGAGAACAGAAAAATATTTAAGGAAATAAATGTTGAAAAAATTTTTCAAATTTGATTAAAACTACAAACCCAGAGATCCAAGAAGTTCAATGAACTCCAAGTACAAGAAAATGAAGAAAACTATACCATGTGACATCTTAATTAATTTGTTTAAAACTGGTAACACAGAGGAAATCTTAAAA